ATCGTTGACTCACTGCTTGTAGGAACATCTGTGCTGGGTTGTGTGGGCGATGCCAGTAGTCTGCATACGTCGAATACTTACCTATACTTTAGAACTCAAAAGTAACGATCCTTCGGGTGGCTGAACTCGTCCCATTAGGGTGACACAGCTCGTCCCATTCCGGTGACACAGCTCGTCCCCTTCCGGTGACACATCTCGTCTCCTTCGGATGACACAACTCGTCCCCTTCGGGTGACACAACTCGTCCCCTACCGGTGACACATCTCGTCCCCTTCGGATGACACAGCTTGTCCCCTTCGGATGACACATCTTGTCCCCTTCGGATGACACAGCTTGTCCCCTTCGGATGACACAACTCGTCCCAATCGGGTGACAACAACACGTCCCCTTCCGGTGACACATCTCGCCCCCTTCGGATGACACAACTGGTTGGGGGGAGGGGGTATACATATGGACATGTGTATGGAAATGACCGAATAACGAACCACATGAAGTTAGTTCTTTGTTACAGCGAATAAAGCCCAACCTCTTGTAACAAAACATGCTGTTGTATGTGTAGTGTTACTATTTTAGTAAATCATTACATGTGTTTTTACAAAAGGATATCAAAGGATATACGCAGACATGTACACGTAACCTTCCACCGGTGTTGAAAAACACACACGAAACAATGGTGATCTGTAGATCTGTTCACCAAGCCTCTTAACTAACGTAGACTCTATGAGGTCCTAGCGAATAAATTTGAAACGGACTCCAAGTCAAGAGTGATTTGACAAATCTAGACTGCCTATGTTCTGGTTCTGAAATCAGGCATTGTTCTGGGCTCCATTTGAGTTCTATTGAGTAGATCGTGGACTTGTATAGGTCCGTGAGTAGGTTTATAATTTTAACTACGAAAATTGGATTTCTCGGATGTTGATTGATTTTCGATGTGTGTATTTAAAGATAACAAAATAATATCCAATATATATAATTTACGATGTAGCTAAGGTATATACACGTGTAAAAACTGTATTTTGTAGTCAACCAAAGAAGATCTTCAATACCTTATATTGTATATTGTTTTGAAATGTCTGACCTTATGAACACGTTCCTTATTTCAATATTGTATTCAATTCCACAAATGACTGTACACAACATTTATATATTTTACCTGTATACGACGGTTACATGGGCAAGTATAACGGTAAACACAAACTTGTGTTTGTTTAACATTTTTATTTTAAAGGGAAATATAAACATTTAGTCGGCTCGGGTAACTAATTCTAGCTGTTTCCTGAATAAAATATCATTTATAACACATTAGCTTACCTCTTGCTAAAATGTGTGGCACAGTCAATAGCAAATAGCCAGACACTTCAGGCATACAAACATTATTTTGTGTCATGTAATTATAACACCAGATGTTTTTCAAAGAAATATGAAACATCAATGCTAGAGAATAACCAATTTCGATTTTTTCAACAAAACAAATTCTATTTGGCGTAAACGTTAACAATAGCGGTAAAATGTATTAATGGATCACTGAAAACCAGTTATGACACGGCTGTTCGCAAAAAGAAGTTGTTGCCAATGAAATGTATATATGTACATGTTGAAAGCAATCACAGAGAGTATTGCCTTCTGGAAAGGTCTTGCAAACGAGGTAGACATTTTGGATTCCATTTATGCGCACGAAGATGTTTCATTTATCAAAATATGCCTGTGAATGTTTGAAGGGAAGTTGTTCTTCATCGACTTTGCTGCAGGCGTCTATGCAGGATTGGGGTACACAAAGACTATTCAGAAAAATTCAATTCAATTAATTAATCAATGATACTACCAGTGCTAGTAAAAAATCTTTATATATTCATCAGGTGAAAGAGAAAGCATATTCTCCGAAATGTTGTGTTCCTCATTATAAAGAGGGCGGTCGGGTAGCCTAGTGGTTAAAGCGTTCGCTCGTCACGCCGAAGACCCGGGTTCGATTCCCGACATGGGTACAATGTGTGAAGCCCATTTCTGGTGACCCCCGCCGTGATATTGCTGGAATATTGCTAAAAGCGGCGTAAAACCATACTCACTCACTCACTCATTATAAAAAAGTTGACATCAATATATTCTCTTCCTTATGTGAATCACTTCTAAATGCCTCCAAAGACCAGAAATATAACCTGTTTTGTCGAAATAGATCTAAAAACAGCTAATCCAAATTACTCTACCAAAAATTCAGTAATTTCAAGACAATGCACATCACATTACAAAATTGAACAAGAAAACAATAAATAAAAAGCGAATAAAGTTAATTAAGCAAAAACTAAGATAGTGATACCAATGTCTGTGTCTAAAATACCTGTCGCGATATATGTACGTAACATAAGTAAAATAGACCAAATGAAAGAAAGGGGTTAGGTTTCAATTCAGCATTTTTCAATAATGGCCGCAAGCCATGATTTTGTTTGATTAAATAGACAGTGCAAGTCAGCCATGCTTACTTTTTTTCCCTGTACGTTGTGGTAATGTATAAAATATGAATAAAATTCATGCAAGTTGGATGTGCTTTTATATTTTGTGAGTACTAATACTTTAACATTAAAGCGATGACTGAACAAATGTCATGAAGTTACAAAATGTATTGGTGCGGTTTCCTGATTTAGCCAGTACTTTAACCATCAGCTGTACCCAGACGTCACGCTGAAAAAGTAAAGAAGATAAAGATAAGTCAACACTATCTCGTAAAGGGCGTTTCGCAATCGCATTACTTCATGATCTATTGATTGTTCCAAAACTTATGTATTTGCAATACTAGCGAGAAAATCCATTTCCATATTCATAAAGCAGAGTCGATTGTATGAGTCTGACTTTACCATGAACATAACTTCATGACTTACTGTGAAAAAGTGATGATAACATGAACTTTAAACAAATGAATTGGTGTCATGATACTTGTTGACACACCTTTATGTATTTGCAAATTTTTGATCAAATGAAACTATGCTCACCCATGGGCAAAATATTTTAATACGCCTTTCAATCAGTTGAATTAAGTTCACAATGAGTTGAATTATGTGTCATGATACTTGTAGAAACATCTTTATGCATTTACAAAATATAATGTGTGAGTTTTGAGCAAAGGAAAATATTGTCGCCCATGGGCGAAATATTTAAGAAGGCCACAAATTAGTTAGATTAAGTTAAAATGAGTTGTTAAAACAAAAAACATGGGTTTGGAGCAAAAGAAAATATTCTCGCCCATGGGCGACATAGTTTAAATTTTGAGTTTTTGGAAACATTTCTTTTTCCTTTTTTCTTCCTTAGTATGAACCCATGAAAACAGCATGTTGAATTTTGGAAATACCTTTAACCGAGACTGGCCACAGCATGGAAAGTTTCTGGACAAATGGGTTTCCTGTTGCGTATTTGTCGATGTGAGCGCTGAAGTTGATGCACCTTGTTTTGTGGCCCTTTATCTGTTGTTTATGGACGGGCATTTATGTCCCTTAAGCACCCCTTTTGTCCAATGTATTCCTCATGACACCCTTGACATATAATAACATAAATGATATGTTTTGCGGAGCAGTCTTTCCTGTGTTTTTTTTAACTCTATGCATAAGTTTTCAACAATGTATTCACAAATATATAAATTCAACAGGACTACTGTTGATTATACTATGTTTCTCTTTTCCTGTGTGAAATGCGTGATGAATAATATATGCACAAACTCATAGTCTATACCCCGTACAGTTATAGCAGAGTAGAAAGTTCCTTGAAACACGATACGTTGGTGAAACTGGTTTTGGTCACTTATCGCAGGCCAAACTAGTGATAGAAATCTCACAGGTATTTTAATGGTAAAATAGTATGACCCACCTTCAAATACTGTATTTATCTCGACCCTTCCCCTTGATGCTTACCCACCAACTCCTATCCCAATACTAAATGTCCAGTCCCTTTTGTGCGGAAGTTGCTGTACGCTACGGAACCGCAAGACATCTAGCATGTAGTAAAGATTTCTAGTAAATAACAAGGACCTTGATTTTCTGTGTGTTTGCCGTTTGGTGAATGTTTCATTCAAATAATGTGGAGCGTGGGGCACCTACAGAGTTTTGTGTCATGACTCAATCCCGTTACTTTCATATGTATATGACATGTCTATGTGTTTAGTATATATGATCTACCTCTGTGTCTAGTATGTATGACATATATGTGTTTAGCATATATGACATATCTCTGTGTCTAGTATATATATGACATATCTATGTGTATATTATAAATGACATATCTATGTGTTTAGTATATATATGACATATCTATTTGTTTAGTATATATGTGACATATTTATGTGTTTAGTATACATATGACATATCTATGTGTTTAGTATACATGTCATATCAATTTGTTTAGTATCTATATCATATTTATGTGTTTAGTATATATGACATATCTATTTGTTTAGTATCTATGGCATAGCTACATGTTTAGTATATATGGCATATCTATGTGTTTAGTATATATGACATATCTATGTGTTTAGTATATATATATGACACATATATGTGTTTAGTATCTATGACATATCTATGTGTTTAGTATATATGACATATCTGTGTGTTTAGTATATATATGACATATATCTTTGTTTAGTATATATGACAAATCTATTTGTTTAGTATATATATGACATATCTATGTGTTTAGTATCTATATGACATATCTACGTCTTTAGGATGCATATGGCATATCTATTTGTTTAGTACATATGGCATACCTATTTGTTTAGAATGTATATGAAATGTCTATGTGTATAGTATACATATGACATATCTATGTGTTTAGTATATATGACATATCTGTGACACATCCGCGCCCTGGCCAGGTGGTTGGAAATTCGTGTCAACATTCTCCCCAGTAATGTATGCACTGCCTGCTCGATCGATAAGACTGTATCAAGTTTCCGTTCCGGGATGGTTTAGACGACTAGCTCATTACGTGCACAACACATTCCAAAAGTGCGTGTCGGGTATCGGGGTTTGTTCGGTGGCGTACACGTGTATCCCTCTGCTAATCAGTGTTAGCCATTCACAGCGACATGATATAGTTAATCGGATTTCCTTGCATTGCCTTATCGTGGCATTTTACCTGGTCAAAAGGCTGCAAGCTAACCACGAAACAAGTGATTCCCTTTTCATAACACCTTTACAAGACAAAACATTTATGTTACCGCCATAAGGTAGTGAGTGCCTGGTGTTCTGGTTCTCCTGGAGTCGTCCGCCATCTTCAGATTGTGAATTATTTATTTCGTGGAAACAGTAAGAATGAGGAACCTCGTACCACGACGCTTTAGACTGATGAGAGGTAATCTCCTTTGTTTTGTGTCGGGTGCATGTGTTGTTATCACAATGCTATCCTTCTTTGCACCCCTCAGTCGCAGTAGTCGTGATGACAACCATGACGTTCTTGCTACATCATTGACTTCAACGACATTCAGTGTGATAAAGCACAAAGATGGCAAATGGATGTTTGACAATGCGTGCGAGACGAATGAGTCGTTCACGAAGACAAAACTTCATACCCCAACAGGAGATACTAACATATTTCTCTACCCCCCGCAACAAGACGTGTGGGTGTCCGGATTTATCTGGAGGGAGGGGAAATGGGAACTGGATCTCGTCGATATTATGCACAACATACTGAAACAGCACCCCGGTTGGATTTTCATGGACGTGGGTGCAAATATCGGCGTGTATAGTGTGTCCTTGGCAAAGGCAGGCCGAGAGGTGATAGCTATTGAACCGCTTGCGACGAATGTAAAGAGACTCTGTCGATCGTTGAAAGAGGGTCAGTTTGAAGGGGTCGTGCATTTGATCAAGAATGCTGTGTCGGATTCTAGGAGACCTATTACTTTAGGTGGAATGCCTTCAAATGTTGGCGGTACGTACATAAAGGATGTCGCAGATGAATCAGCAGATTCTGTGAAAGAATCTGAGCAGACGATACTTCTTGACGACTTGGCGCACGTGCTGCATGGCCGAACGGTCATCATGAAGATGGACATAGAGAAACACGAAGCAAGGGCTCTGAAAGGGGGCACTAACTTCTTCCGACTCGTTGACGTCAGGTATCTCCTGATGGAGTTCAACACGGAGAAACAACAGGGTGACTCAGTGAAATGGGTTGTTCAGTTTCTACAGGAACATCACATGGTGGCAGTCAAGCCAGGTAATTTCTCACACACGTACGACCCGGCGAAACTGTTGGATTGGCCCTCTGACGTCATGTGGATTAAAGAGACCTTAACGTCGAGAAACTGATGATAAATACAGATAGTTAGTTGTTCTACTTTCTTTACGCTACAGTCGTCAATGTCCCAGCTTCATCACTGAAGCTTATAAATAGTCGATCATTGGTAAATAGCTTGACAGAAAATATAGATATTCAACGACTGAGTGTCTGTTATTTACCTCAAGCAACGTGAAATGTTGTTTTTAGTTTTAATTAAAAAAAGATCTGGCCTAACGGTAAAATCATACCTTAGTGAGGGAAACCGATAGCTGATGGGACAGGCCTATGTATCTATATTCTGATGTTGTAAATGAGAGGTTCCATAACCCGGACGTCAAGGTGAACGGATTCGTGAGGTTCCACTGTATACAGAAAGAGATTGAAGATTTTATGCATTCAGAATTTATGCATGCCGAGTGTCATAGTGAAATGACACAAACCGGGACCCAATATTACGAAATGGATTCAGTTTTCGACAACCCGGCGTAATAAGATACGTGTAGATAATGATAGTGAAAGGATCGTAGCACTTCGGACAATAGCATAATAACTAAATTTGATGGCTGTATAAATACGGGGACTGGAAGAATTCCTTTATCGATCTATGCTACTTCGGTTTCAGTATGACATATTAAAAATGTATGGTAACTGATGGCAGACTTCACGACAAACCCAGATCCGTGTCACAATCGTGCAGACCTTCGTGCTGACCCGTCTTACACAAACCGGGGCGATCTGGGGAGGTTTAACTTCAATACAGCAGTATTGTTTCGCACTATATGTTTACTGCCTTATGGATGAACATTTCTACAGATCCCTTCAAATAAAAGCGACAAAACCCGAAGATCAGCCTGAATGTCATTCTCGGAGTCAGTATACTGTGATTGAGTGTGGTATTCTAGTTAAACTGCAGCATGGTATCTCAGTGGGCTAGCACTATAAACTCGGCATTAGTCCGGACTAGTACAAGCACACACACACACACACACACACACACACACACACACACACACACACACACACACACACACACACACACAAAGGGCACTAATGTTGGAGGCGACGTTAAACCCCATTTCACCTAACTTCACTATGTCACCAATCTTTAATTTCTTAACTGATTCCACAAAGACATTTTGTTCTGTAGGTTACGACCCAATACGACTGGGCCAAGGTTAACTGGAGAGAAAGACAGGAAACCTATCTGGCAACATGTTCGAAATTTCCCCCGCCAATCTCTATCCCCAACCCCAGCTAAACTCTGCATCTATGGGGGTGATGGGGTAGCCTAGTGGTTAAAGCGAAGACATTGGTTCGATTCCCCACATGGGTACAATGTGTGAAGCCTATTTCTGGTGTCCCCCGTCGTGATATTGCTAGAATATTGTTAAAGCGGCTTAAAACAATACTCACTCACTGCGTCTATGTTTTATTGACCTGATCCTGTCAGGTGTAAGGGGGACTATTTCAACACACACTAAAGAAACACAGGGACGCCGCCCACGTGGAAACTAGGAAACAATATCACACTAAGCTAATTATTTTAGTTATCAACGCATCTTGTGTTAAAAGAAAAACAAAATGATAATATAACGTCAACGCCAGTCTCGATTATCCGCCGAAACAGATTCCATTCCGCGTAGAGCCGTCATATAGCTGGAATATTGCTGACAAACAAAAACATTACGCGTTGAAGCCAAAATTGCGGTGAAACATATCTGAATAGATCACTGAAAATCAGTGATGACACCAGATGTTGCGGAAAGGGTAGACATTTCCTACCCAACCGGTAGCACCCGCCACTCACAATTTGCATGACAAAAATGTGTATGTTTCCAGACACCGCACAGCAGAAATTCTGCCACGTGACGGCGGCATGTAAACAAACAAGACAATCAAGTGATGGACCAGAAACAAACAAAACAATACGTAAATTTGAATCATGACTACCAGGTCTCCACCACTGTTGTTTGGCTATTGTCTCTTGAGATGGAATTCGTCTCTTGTCTCTTGTCTCTTGAGATGGAATTCGTCTCTTGTCTCTTGAATGGAATTCGTCTCTTGTCTCTTGTCTCTTGAATGAAATTTGTCTCTTGTCTCTTGAATGGAATTCGTCTCTTGTCTCTTGAATGGAATTCGTCTCTTGTCTCTTGAATGGAATTTGTCTCTTGTCTCTTGAGATGGAATTCATCTCTTGTCTCTTGTCTCTTGAATGAAATTTGTCACTTGTCTCTTGAGATGGAATTCGTCTCTTGTCTCCTTAGATGGAATTCATCTCTTGTCTCTTGTCTCTTGAATGGAATTTGTCTCTTGTCTCTTGAATGGAATTTGTCTCTTGTCTCTTGAATGGAATTCGTCTCTTGTCTCTTGTCTCTTGAATGGAATTTGTCTTTTGTCTCTTGAGATGGAATTCGTCTCTTGTCTCTTGTCTCTTGAATGGAATTCGTCTCTTGTCTCTTGAATGGAATTCGTCTCTTGTATCTTGAGATGGAATTTGTCTCTTGTCTCTTGAATGGAATTCGTCTCTTGTCTCTTGTCTCTTGAATGGAATTTGTCTTTTGTCTCTTGAGATGGAATTCGTCTCTTGTCTCTTGTCTCTTGAATGGAATTCGTCTCTTGTCTCTTGAATGGAATTCGTCTCTTGTATCTTGAGATGGAATTTGTCTCTTGTCTCTTGAATGGAATTCGTCTCTTGTCTCTTGTCTCTTGAATGGAATTTGTCTTTTGTCTCTTGAGATGGAATTCGTCTCTTGTCTCTTGAGATGGAATTCGTCTCTTGTCTCTTGTCTCTTGAATGGAATTTGTCTCTTGTCTCTTGAGATGGAATTCATCTCTTGTCTCTTGTCTCTTGAATGAAATTTGTCACTTGTCTCTTGAGATGGAATTCGTCTCTTGTCTCCTTAGATGGAATTCGTCTCTTGTCTCTTGTCTCTTGAATGGAATTTGTCTCTTGTCTCTTGAATGGAATTTGTCTCTTGTCTCTTGAATGGAATTCGTCTCTTGTCTCTTGTCTCTTGAATGGAATTTGTCTTTTGTCTCTTGAGATGGAATTCGTCTCTTGTCTCTTGTCTCTTGAATGGAATTCGTCTCTTGTCTCTTGAATGGAATTCGTCTCTTGTATCTTGAGATGGAATTTGTCTCTTGTCTCTTGAATGGAATTCGTCTCTTGTCTCTTGTCTCTTGAATGGAATTTGTCTTTTGTCTCTTGAGATGGAATTCGTCTCTTGTCTCTTGAGATGGAATTCGTCTCTTGTCTCTTGAGATGTAATTCGTCTCTTGTATCTTGAATGGAATGTGAATTGAATTCAGCTCTTGTCTCTTGAATGGAATTTATCTATTGTCTCTTGAGATGGAATTCGTCTCTTGTCTCTTGTCTCTTGAATGGAATTTGTCTATTGTCTCTTGAGATGGAATTCGTCTCTTGTCTCTTGTCTCTTGAATGGAATTTGTCTCTTGTCTCTTGAGATGGAATTCGTCTCTTGTCTCTTGAATGGAATGTAAATGGAATTTGTCTCTTGTCTCTTGAATGGAATTTGTCTCTTGTCTCTTGAATGGAATTCGTCTCTTGTCTCTTGAATGGAATGTAAATGGAATTTGTCTCTTGTCTCTTGAATGGAATTTGTCTCTTGTCTCTTGAATGGAATTCGTCTCTTATCTCTTGAATGGAATGTAAATGGAATTTGTCTCTTGTCTCTGGAGATGGAATTCGTCTCTTGTCTCTTGTCTCTTGAATGGAATTCGTCTCTTGTCTCTTGTCTCTTGAATGGAATTCGTCTCTTGTCTCTTGTCTCTTGAATGGAATTTGTCTCTTGTCTCTTGAGATGGAATTCGTCTCTTGTCTCTTGAATGGAATTCGTCTCTTGTCTCTTGAGATGGAATTCGTCTCTTGTCTCTTGTCTCTTGAGATGGAATTCGTCTCTTGTCTCTTGAATGGAATTTGTCTCTTGTCTCTTGAGATGGAATTCGTCTCTTGTCTCTTGAATGGAATTCGTCTCTTGTCTCTTGTCTCTTGTCTCTTGAATGGAATGTGAATGGAATTCGTCTCTTGTCTCTTGTCTCTTGAATGGAATTTGTCTCTTGTCTCTTGAATGAAATTCGTCTCTTGTCTCTATTCTCTTGAATGGAATTTGTCTTTTGTCTCTTGAGATGGAATTTGTCTCTTGTCTCTTGAATGGAATTCGTCTCTTGTCTCTTGAGATGGAATTCGTCTCTTGTCTCTTGTCTCTTGAGATGGAATTCGTCTCTTGTCTCTTGTCTCTTGAGATGGAATTCGTCTCTTGTCTCTTGAATGGAATTCGTCTCTTGTCTCTTGTCTCTTGAATGGAAATTGTCTCTTGTCTCTTGAATGGAATTCGTCTCTTGTCTCTTGAATGGAATTCGTCTCTTGTCTCTTGAATGGAATTTGTCTCTTGTCTCTTGAGATGGAATTCATCTCTTGTCTCTTGTCTCTTGAATGAAATTTGTCACTTGTCTCTTGAGATGGAATTCGTCTCTTGTCTCCTTAGATGGAATTCATCTCTTGTCTCTTGTCTCTTGAATGGAATTTGTCTCTTGTCTCTTGAATGGAATTTGTCTCTTGTCTCTTGAATGGAATTCGTCTCTTGTCTCTTGTCTCTTGAATGGAATTTGTCTTTTGTCTCTTGAGATGGAATTCGTCTCTTGTCTCTTGTCTCTTGAATGGAATTCGTCTCTTGTCTCTTGAATGGAATTCGTCTCTTGTATCTTGAGATGGAATTTGTCTCTTGTCTCTTGAATGGAATTCGTCTCTTGTCTCTTGAATGGAATGTAAATGGAATTTGTCTCTTGTCTCTTGAGATGGAATTTGTCTCTTGTCTCTTGAATGGAATTCGACTCTTGTCTCTTGAATGGAATTCGTCTTTTGTCTCTTGAGATGGAATTCGTCTCTTGTCTCTTGAATGGAATGTGAATTGAATTCAGCTCTTGTCTCTTGAATGGAATTCGTCTCTTGTCTCTTGTCTCTTGAATGGAATTTGTCTCTTGTCTCTTGTCTCTTGAATGGAATTTGTCTCTTGTCTCTTGAGATGGAATTCGTCTCTTGTCTCTTGTCTCTTGAATGGAATTTGTCTCTTGTCTCTTGAGATGGAATTCGTCTCTTGTCTCTTGAGATGTAATTCGTCTCTTGTCTCTTGAATGGAATGTGAATTGAATTCAGCTCTTGTCTCTTGAATGGAATTTATCTATTGTCTCTTGAGATGGAATTCGTCTCTTGTCTCTTGTCTCTTGAATGGAATTTGTCTATTGTCTCTTGAGATGGAATTCGTCTCTTGTCTCTTGTCTCTTGAATGGAATTTGTCTCTTGTCTCTTGAGATGGAATTCGTCTCTTGTCTCTTGAATGGAATGTAAATGGAATTTGTCTCTTGTCTCTTGAATGGAATTTGTCTCTTGTCTCTTGAGATGGAATTCGTCTCTTGTCTCTTGAATGGAATGTAAATGGAATTTGTCTCTTGTCTCTTGAATGGAATTTGTCTCTTGTCTCTTGAATGGAATTCGTCTCTTATCTCTTGAATGGAATGTAAATGGAATTTGTCTCTTGTCTCTGGAGATGGAATTCGTCTCTTGTCTCTTGTCTCTTGAATGGTATTTGTCTCTTGTCTCTTGAATGGAATTCGTCTCTTGTCTCTTGTCTCTTGAGATGGAATTCGTCTCTTGTCTCTTGTCTCTTGAATGGAATTTGTCTCTTGTCTCTTGAGATGGAATTCGTCTCTTGTCTCTTGAATGGAATTCGTCTCTTGTCTCTTGAGATGGAATTCGTCTCTTGTCTCTTGAGATGGAATTCGTCTCTTGTCTCTTGAATGGAATTTGTCTC